GATCGATTTTACGACGGTTTGAAAACCAAATTCACGACGGTGAATTCCCGTCGTCTTTTGCCTTTTTTGTAGTAGTGAATGAACCATATTTTGCACTAGTGTTTTCACTAAAGTAAGTATTCACCTGCTGTCCCTTTGGCCTTTGTCCCAAAAATAAAAAATTCACTGCTGTCCCACATCGGTGAAGTCTAAGTTACTCTTTCTACATCAAAGGGTTTTGTTGAACCAAAAAAAAAAAAACAATTTCACTATTAGAGCATCTATAATGAGCTCTTTAAATTAGATCTTTAGACAAATTTTAGGGTGGATTTGGAAAAATACAACTCTAGGAGCTTCTAAATTTGAGGAAATAGAAAAAAATCCTAGTTGCTCCTTATAATTTCATGCGGCTTTATTTTATGAGTATTTTAAACCTTTAATTAACACTAACTATTTCTATATATATATTTTTTAATAGAAGTGGACTAATTAAAAAAGTTATAGCTTTTAGTACTCGCTAACCTAGAGAGTATGATTGGATTGTGACAAGAAAAAAAGTATGATTAGATTAAAAAATTTAGGCTTTTTATCACAAATGGTCCTTAACGTTTACCAAATTATCACGAATGATCCTTGAGGTTTTTTTGTGACACTAATAGTCCTTAACGTTTGAGCTTTTTATCACAAATGGTACCTACCGTTAGAAATTTTGTTAAGTGTCTTATGTGGAAGATAAGTGGAGCCCACATGTCCAATCACATCATGACATGTGGATTAAATAAATAAAGAAATATTTTTTTTTAATGAAAATCCATTAAAAACCATTTAGCCTCTCTCTCTCTCTCTCTCTCTCTCTCTCTCTCTCTCTGCGGCTCTGCCCTCTCTCCTCCCTGTGGATTCCAATTTACATCTGTTGGCATTGATTTTGGTGTGCTCATGTCCATTTGAACACAAGACTTTGATTCCAAAAGCTCCCCGACAACAGCATGGTTCTCTCTCTGAAGAATTATGCAAGGGAATTTAGTTTCAACGTTAAAACTATAGGCTTTACTTTATGTACATAAATAAAAACCTAAAACTAGAAATAAGAACACATTAACAATCAGAAAGTAACTCACACCAAATCCGAACAGCATCTAAAATTGAATCAAGAAGTTCTTTAGTCGTGGCCTGTGCTTTCCCTGCCGGAGCCATCTTTGTATGGTTGTATATAGGGTGGGCATGGCCGCATGGGGTGGTTGGGTTGTAGAGGCAAGAAAAAGAACAGAGGGAGAGGGAAAGCATAGAGAGAGAGAGAGGCTAAATGTTTTTTAATGGATTTTTATCAAAAAAATTTATTTATTTATTTATTTAATCCACATGTCATGATGTGATTGGATATGTAGGCTCCACTTATCTTCCACGTAAGACACTTAACAGAATTTAATGCAGGGACCATTTGTGATAAAAAGCCCGAACGTTAAGGACTATTAGTGTCACAAAAAAACCTCAAGGACCATTCGTGATAATTTCGTAAACGTCAAGAACTATTTGTGATAAAAAACCAAAAATTTATAGAGAGCTCTTAAAATAGCTTTTATGTGTTCTTTGATAAATTTGAACTTTAAAAATAAAGAACGCAATCATTTCAATAATTTCTTTTTCTCTTTTTATAATTTTTCGGTTTACAACAATCATTTTTAGTTTTCACAGCTCATTTCCAATGACGTCAAGCTGTCCCTGCCAAAAGTCGCCACTTAAAGCAGCGCCATCTACGCAAACCTGTCTTCCACTTGCCACGTGTCGCATCCAAGTGCCAAGCGTCCGATCTGTCAATCCAAGTCAGCACCTAAATTGCGCCCCTGATTGGTCAGTCCGTACGCACCAAAGCCCGAGGCGTTTTCACGCGCTTAGACTCTCCTACTCTCTTCGTCTTACTTGTCCAGTTCTCACAGCTCACGTGTTGAACGTGTGTCTAGTCGCCGCGTGAGGCCAGCTGGCTGACCTTATCCAATTTGTTATAAAGCGCTGATAAAGTCACCAGCAGAGTACACCATACCATCACTGGCGTCGTGTTTTATTGGCTCAGTTCAACGCTTTCACGTGCCAGTCTCCACTCTCATTGGCTCTTGGCGTGGGCTGCCGGGTGTCCTTATAATTTCCCTTGGATTTGTTCCACGTTTACATGAAAGGCAAGTTAATTTTTTCATTAAGTTTTTGCCTAATTAATCCCTAACACACCATTCCGTGAATAATGATAGCCCTAATTTGCCCAATTCAATTTGGGAAAGAAAATTGTAGATGTCAAACAATGATATATGTAAATGCATTGAAACCCTAGAGAAAACTTGTGAGTTTGGCTTCCAACATCAAACTGCACCAAAATAAAGCGTCATTTCTTATTGCTTTTTAACACACAGGTCAGTTTCAATCTTCTTCTATAATCATGATCTCTTTATCATTTCTCAAGATTAGGGTTTTTGAAGAATTGGGTTATTGTTTTTGTACCCTTGCAGTATCTGGGTATGGTTTATATTTCATATTTTTCATGGTTGAGTGTCAATAGATACCATTTTGGTTTTTATTTTGGGGGTGTGCTCTGTTTTTTGTGTTCATGAGAATTTTGTACAATGTGGCTCTGGTTGCCGCAGATCTGAATGTGGTATCTAAGTGTACCTGTTTTTGGTTGCTCTGTTACATTTTGTGGAAAAGCTGGGTTCTTGACAACATTCTGTGGTATAAGTTAACCCACTTAGAGGGAAAAAGAATCTTGGGCTTTTTGCATCTGTAAGATTAGAATATGTGTTGGATATGTCAGTAGTTTCTGTTGTTTTCAGAATGAGAATCTTTGTTCTTTCGGTTTCTTTAGTTCTGTGTTTGATTTCACTGCATTGAACCATGTATGGCTCTGGCTGATTCTTGTTTTGATATTATGTTTTTTATGGAACGTTTTACCTTTCGTTTTTCTGTGTGTTATTTATAATATGTAGGAGTGGATTAGGATTGTTGTATTTTTGTTACTGATGTGAAATTGATGGGCTATATGCAGATTGTGTGATTTTGCTATTTTGAGTGGAAAAGAGTCTTGTGAGATTATCCATTTATAAAGGTTGTGAAATAATGTCGAAGTCATACGTAAATCTTTTAGATTTGGCATCAGGGAACTTCCCTAAAATGGAGGGGAAAAGGAGACGGTTTCCGAGGGTGAATACAGCTCCGGGCAATTTGTCAGATCTTGATGATGATCAAGCACGTAGTGTGTCATCTGATCAGCCATCATCAATTGCTTCAGATCGGA